TTTTCGTAACAATAGATTCGTTTCCTTCCATCTCCGATCCATCGAAAACCCACGCATTATACCTAAACCTGAGAAATAGTGACTCTACTACCTATTACAGTGGCGCCCAACGTGGGGCCTTGGACTCAGTGTGCGAACGGACCCAACAATTAATTGTTACGTACGTTACAAATACGTAAAGTTTTGGTGCTTGTTCATCCAGTGACTATAATATACGCGTCAGTGTTCGTTTAGTGACTATACCTACGAAACGCAATACAATGCCGCGAACAACACGATCGGCGCAGCGAAGCGCTCGGTCTTCGGACGACGACGACACAGTGGTGGAGTCGCGCACCCATGCCGGGGCCGCCCACACTCACGTCGCGTGCGACGGAGACGCACCCGAGACGCGCGCCCAGGGAGGCGCCGCTCAAGAACCCGACTACATATTCGACGGAGGCTGCAGCGGAGCACCCGCTCACCCCGCATTGACTTTGAGCACCGAGCGGCTCCTGACTACCATGATGGAGTCGTTCGCCAGAGCACAGGCGGATACCAACCGCATACTAGTAGAGACGTTAAGATCCCTCCATCATAACGGTAACCAGTGGAATCCAGTCACGTCAACCCCGACAGCGTCGCCTACCGCGAACACATTTACGACATTTGGCGGGAACTTTTCAAAGTGCACCGCGAGATTCGACGGGCAATCACGCAACGCCGAGGTACTGGAGGCGTTCGTAGATGCGGTGGAGGTGTACAAGGAGTGCGCCGGCGTGTCAGACGAGCACGCGGTACGCGGCCTCTCCATGTTGCTGACCGGCGACGCGGCGGTGTGGTGGCGCGGCGCGCGCCCCAGCGTCGGCACGTGGCCCGACGCGCTCGCGCGCCTGCGTGCCACCTACGGCGTACAGAAGCCTGCGCACCGTCTACTCCGTGAGGTATACGCGTGTGAGCATAGTGAGTGTGAACGTGCAGAGGTATTCGTGTCAAAGGTACGATCTTTATTAGTTAAATTACCGTATGTAGTGCCTACTGTGATGCAAGTAGATATAATTTACGGACTACTTCATCGTCGTATACGTAAACGATTGCCGCGTGATACCGTTTGTAATATTGATGAATTGTTAGAGAGAGCGAGACTCGTGGAAGACAGTATGTCGGAGTTAGAAATCTCGAAAATTCCCGCGAAATCATCGAATATACCTACGGTACCCGACCGCGGCGCTACTACGAGTTCGAGCGTAACCATCGGCTCGAAACTCACCCCTAGCTCGAACGAAAATTTGAAACGTATTCGCACTAGATGTTCTTATTGCAAAGCATTTGGCCACACGATAGATGATTGTCGCAAAGCTAGTAATAATAAAATAGATAACAATAGTGAGAAAACTCGCCCGGTTCGATGCTATGGATGCGGTCAGCCGGGGGTTGTTAGATCTAAATGTGAGACTTGTTCTAATAAGCCTATTCGCGCCGAGTCATCCGACTTCAATATCGTGAAAGGGGATTTCTTCGCTACTTCGTCGCACCCTTTAATTACTATAGGTGTAGTAGGTAAAGTAGGGGTCGCGATAGTAGATACAGGGGCTACGCATAGCGTCGCTAGCCCATTGTTGCACTCGCTACTAGCGAGTGGTGGCGTTCAATTTAAAGACGCTGTTAGGTACGTTGGACTCGCCGACGGGTCACGTCACCGGAAGATGATAAAGATCGCGACAGTACCTGTTACCCTAGGTGGTCGGATAATCGATACCGATTTTATGATGTTTCCTGGTGACGACACTAGGACTCTCTTAGGTCGCGATTTCATCGCCAAAGCAGGCATGGTTTTAGACATAGCCCAGGAGTCGTGGTATTTTACAAATAGTCCAGGAGACCGGTTCCCGTTTGAACGGTCTTACGTTTTGAAAAACGAGAAGACTGAGCACACTCTTGTTAAAGCCAACGTCGTCGTTGCCGATAAGCTGTCGCGACCCGCATGCACCGCCGACGAAGCCGACTGTGACTTATGTTGCAGTTCAGCTGCGGTCGACATGCCTACACGCGGTGCTAAGGACCTGCGCAAAAACCAATTGAAGGACCCGGGGGTGAGTGAGATTGTCGAAGCCCCGGAATCCGACGATCCCTTTAGGGGGAGGGGGAGGGCCGACAAAGGTTACGTACTCACCGAAGGGGTAGTACATCGGTATTGTACCGAAAATGAGGAAGACTATGGCGCCGCCGATAGTATGGAGGTACCACAGCACGAACATGCTAAGATATTGGCTGAATACCATGATGCACCCACTGCTGGTCACATGGGCGAGGAGCGTTCATTGCAACGGTTAGTCGGCAAGTATTATTGGCCTGGAATCCGTTCAGACGTAACGCAAAACGAGAAGGCTCAGAAGGTACGGAAGAGGTATGCCGACGAGCACCGTCGGCCAGCTCCCGACTATAAAGTCGGCGATCTAGTGTTGTTAAAAACTCAAGGGTCAAACGACGCAGGCAAAGGACAGACCCCTAAGTTTATTCCCCGCCGCGATGGGCCTTATAGGATCAAGGCTGCAGTAGGTCCAGTAACTTACGTGCTTGAGCGGCTTAGCGACGGAATAGAGCTTGGGAAGTATCATGCTTCAGTTTTGACACCCTTTGTTGGCCGCATCCAGGCTCCAGTTCAGCAGAAGCGTAGGCGGGGTAGGCCTCGTAAGTGCTAACCCGATCGCGAGGACGTTCGTTCGGGTTAGAGGGGGAGACTGTAGCGCGCGGTCGTTGAGAGGGTTTGCGGAGCGTGTACAATGTACAGGCGCGACCGCACGGTTAGAAACGGCTGCGCACGCAACGCGCCAGCGCCGGCCGCCGCCGGTCGTGTAGGTACGCAACGTTGGGTAGTCGCGCCGACGCCGCAGTGCACAGCACATGTTTTATGATACGTCTATCGCGGCTCTCGCTCGCTCCCAGTTTTCGTGTTGTGTTTAGTTTTATTAATCTTATATTCACCAAACTTTACTCTATTTGCTTTTACTTTATTATACAGACTTTTCGTAACAATAGATTCGTTTCCTTCCATCTCCGATCCATCGAAAACCCACGCATTATACCTAAACCTGAGAAATAGTGACTCTACTACCTATTACATTTATTACTACATTGTTATACTTAGTCGGGTCATAAGTTCTGTCAAAACCTTATATTTTTAATTTTCGATTACTGGCCAGAAATTCTTCGACTTATTTTAAAAATAGAACTTTCGCGCTTGTAGAAAATAAAAAAGAAATTATTTTTTATTCATTTTTAAATATGGAGTGGTCGAATAAAGAAGACAGAATCGCGGTTATCGCGTTGCACCGCTGTGGTTACGCGCCAAAAGACATTTTCAATATTCTTCAAAATTTGAAAATAACGTTACGGTTTGTTTATCGTACTATCAAACGATACACCGAAGAGTCAAGCTTCGAAGATCGTAAGAGAAGCGGCCGACCTCGCACAGTTCGGACACATAAGGTCATCAAAGCAGTGAAGGCGCGAATCGAACGAAATCCCGTACGTAAACAAAAAATCCTAGCTCTGCAGATGGGGCTAAGCAGAACCACTGTTAAAAGAGTACTAAATGAAGACCTGGGACTACGAGCTTATCGTAAAAAGACAGGACATTTTTTGAACGAGCGTTTAAAAAAAATTAGGCTAGACAGATCCCGCGCTTTGCTACGACGGTACGCGGGAAAAAAATACCGCGAAATTCTTTTTTCGGATGAAAAAAATTTTACTATTGAAGAAAGTTTTAACAAACAAAATGATAAGGTGTATGCCCACAGCAGTGAAGAAGCAAGCGCGCGTATTGCGAGGGTCCAGCGTGGGCATTACCCTTCCTCATTCATGGTTTGGCTTGGAGTCTCATATTCAGGCGTAACTGAGGTGTTTTTCTGTGAAAAAGGTGTGAGAACTAGTGCCGAAGTTTATCAAAATACTGTCCTAACAAACATAGTGGAACCTCTTTCTCAGACAATGTTCAGGAACAGGCATTGGATATTCCAACAGGACTCTGCACCGGCTCATAAGGCACGAAGTACGCAAGACTGGTTGATCGCTCGTGGAATTGACTTCATCCGGCATGAAGACTGGCCCTCTTCTAGTCCAGATTTAAACCCACTGGACTACAAGATATGGCAATATTTGGAGGAAAAAGTCTGTGCTAAACCTCACCCGAATTTGGAGTCTCTCCGAGCATCTCTGGTTAAAGCAGCGGCAGACATAGATATGAATGTGGTGCGTGCAGCGATCGATGACTGGCCGCGTAGATTAAGGGCATGTGTTCAAAATGGGGGAGGGCATTTCGAATAATGTAAATAAAATTATATTGTACATTTAATGACCTTTCATTTCATATATAATTTTTAAATAATTGTCAAAAGGCGTATAAGTTATTACATCAAAAGTTTGTGACAGAACTTATGACCCGACTAAGTATATTTAAATTGTACATAAATCTCGAATATGTTTTTTAGAATTATGAATTTACCGATTCAATATATAAACGTTTAAAAAATCAATGTAAAGCTTTCAAAATTTTCGCGTATTTGTTATTTCGTCAAATCTATACTAATATTATTAAGAGGTAAAATTTGTATGTTTGTAAGTTTGTGTGTAAGGGGTAATCTTCGGATTGCCAAAATTCTTTCACTGATATATAGTTACAATGTTCCTGAGTGCTAAAGACTATAAAACATCACGCAACGATTAAATGGAGCAGCAGGTGAAACCGCGGGAGAGTAGCTAGTATGTACATAATATGAGTAAAGTTGGACGAAGAGCCAAGAGCACTATCCCCACATTGAATAGAAATACTTAACTAAAGTAATCGAACTTTTCGGTCACAAGCGGTAGCAATAGCAATCAAAATAAATTACTATAGTAGAGTTGATTACATGCCTTTGGGCAGAGTTCAACAGACCTTTGAAGACAGTATTGTTTAGTTCATAAGTGATCTTTAAAAGTCATTTGAATCTAATTTACTAATTGCTGATTTAATTTCTTAGGTGCTGGATGGACCAAAGCGACGCATTCTGGATTATCATCGTTCCCGTTGGACTTTCGTTAATGGCTTCTTTTGGTAAGTATGACAATATGTACCTACATCTAATTTTATTTGAAAACTACAACGACAGAGAAGGCGTCTTTTGAAACTCTTCAATAAAGCACAAAGTGAGGTATTTATATAAGGCTTGTACAAACTTGAACCCTTTACAAAGTTGCGCGGTAGAAACTGTATTTAATTTAAAAATTATTTTTCACAAAAATACAAGCATACGTCACTAAAATAACAATCGTAATACAAAACTTAATTCGTATCTTCTCTCGCGACGACGAGCGCACTTTGTAAGTGCTTCTGTACATAATGGCGTAGACACAATTGTCTAAATTAGCTGAACAATGTCACCTGTCTCGGTAATCTTACCCAAACTCAGAGGTCGAAGGATAATTTTCCTGTTTCAACCTCCTCTATACAACTACATATGTCTGTGTACCTACATTATATCGAATACAAAGAACTGGCCAGTCATTACAAAGATATTGAATCAAGTATCCCTACTAAATTGGCCAATTCGTTTATCTTCCGACATATTTGACAAACCAATAAATTGTTTATCTTTAATAGGTAGGTTTAGGTTGTATATAATAAGAAAAATATATCAAAAGGAGGTTATATTGGTCAATCTCCATCATTGAACTCAATCTCGAAGGGATTTCCGATATGACCGGACGCACGAGGGACCAACGGATCGTCCTACGTGCTTTTCGATATAGATAGAAAAATACAACGTTTAGTACCCTTACATGAAAACTGCGAATAGCTCATAAAAGAAAGTTCAAATAAAAATAGTATATTGTATCATTTATTTCTTCAGTCTAGCATTCATTTGATGTATATAGGTACAATGCTTAGGGCACACACGTGTGCTAAAACAACCTATGAGTTTGTTTCAGCATTTCTTCTCGAGTAGTAGTCATCTTGTAAAAAGTTCTGTTCTATGGCATATTTTCAATTAAAATATATTGTTTCATTGTTTCGATTGTCCGAGAGATTTTTCTTGATCGATTTGATCTGATTGACCGAATATGGATACCATATATGGAAAAAAAAAATAGTCACAGTACGCTTTTCTTAATTTTGGCATATCGCGGTACAGTAATGTTCACAGCCTTTATTAAGGAGCTTATGAAGAACTATGTTTGTTTTGATGATGATGAAAGTAATATAGATGTTAGTACAATCTACGAGTAGTAACAAAAACATAATTAGCTTTATATTCAAACTAATTCGTTTTTACCTTTAAACATGATATTGGGTTTAAGTAAGAAGATAGTTATAGCTGGGCTATCTACCAGGCACGTAGGTTCTAATTATATATATATAGTTATTATATATATATAGTTATTATATGCGTTTTTCACCACTTTTCTGGCCAAATTTAGGGTCGATAGGAATATAAACCTTTCACTAACACCGAAATAAAGTTTTCAGCGAATCCGGTGCCATTTTGTTCAAATGTTAAGAAAAAGTTGCAAGTGTGCTCGGTCATTAAGTATGTTGATCTGGCAACCCTAATTGTAGGTAATCAAATTGCTTTTCTATTTGGGATGACTGTAATGATTGTGCTTTTTTTTCTCAGTGTTTCAAAAGTGAACTATACAAATCTATGAAATGCAAATATTTTATTTATTAAATGTGTAACGTTTTAAGGTTTTCGAAATTTTTGTGAACTTATTTGAGGAAAATAATTCCTCAAATAATTTCAAATGTTCTGGATCCTGGAATCACTGAATGCCCATTCTCCCTTTATTGCTTGCTTGTATTCGAATAATGTACGCGAGGCTAAATAAAAATGCCTTAGAAGAAACTCATTCCCTCTTGGAAACATCCCATAAGCCATTATGCTGGCTTGAAATGGCCCCGTTTTTCTTAATATCAATTAATGTGCACCAATTTGTGCAAAGAACCTTAAAATACATAGCGGTGTGTATATTACGTTTTGTTTAGGTTTATTGTTTCTGCGACCTTGACTAAAACAAGCCCAGAAAATAAAAATGTTTATTGTGTGGCAATAGATTACATTTATTAATCCGGTGAAAGATTACGATCTTAATTTAAGATATTAAAGATACTTGTGGAAAAAAGGGTCATTTTTTTATTAGCACACTATACTCAGTGCCAACACTAATCTCAGTTCAAATTTGACTGATGACATCTATCTAGGTCCTGATAAAACAAAGTAAATGAGGCAAGAGCACAACTATGAAAGTGCTATTATAACGATTTGCATACACTCCATTTTATTGCATGCTGACGCTAGTCAGGAAGGAAGGCAGGCGGATTCATGTTATGTATACTTACCTACAAAAGTACATTTTAATCTTATCTTAACTTCAACAACTTAGTTAGAAAAAGACAAAAATATTTCTAAGTATTCCTATTTTTCATGGGACACTAAGTTAACGTATTATCATTTGACATTTGACGTCGCATTGTGACCAGTAAGACCAAAAGAATTGACAGTTGACAACTGCAGTGCCTTTTGTGCTTTGTGATATATTTGAGGATGAGGACTTTGAGATGAGGCATTATCGAAAAATGATTGAGCCTGTTATAAAGTGACTGATACGGCCAAATACAACGCTAGCGTTGTTTCACAACGGTATTCTTTGAGGTTGGCTCTCTTTCTCCAGTCAAGCCGGCATCAATTATAACAGTGACCATGAACCCCATCCCTTTAATAAAACAAGCAATGGACGCCCGCCTGATAACCTATTTGAAATTAGAATTCGCAGTCACGAATCTGCACATTGTTATGTGATGGAGTTACAACGTTACATCTAACCCTACGGATACCAGAGCCTTCCAGTTTGTACCCCATATATAACGACACCTGACATCAAGTGTTACAAGGAAAAACGTCCAACAAAACTCCTTGAAACGTTACACCCTGACCCTTTTCTACCACCTGTACTAGGAGCGTGTTAAATATTTTGATTCTTTTATACTTTTGTTAACAGATTTAAAAAAAGAGATGTTCCAAATTCATTGGATTACCGGTGTCACTTACGTAGGTACATAATATATTAAAAAACAAAAATTTATTCGTTAAAAAATCGTAGGTAGGTACGAGTATTTTGTTGCCAACATGTGTCATAATATCTACATAATTTAGGCAAATTATACTCTATTTCTGGAACGTTCTTATTAGTTTTATACAAAAAATATATTAGATTAGATTAGTCTTGCCAATAAATACTGCTGCTACGCTGTGCCGCACAAATGAAGTTCTTAATGTTAAAAAAAACGTGCTCTCCTTTTTTGATATGGATCCGAATTAAAAATACGATCATCTAAGCTATAACTCGACGGCCAGAATTTTCCTCAAGTAAAAACAAAAACCAAGAGAAGGAAGCGTCACAAACAACCCGACCCTATTATTTGCTTTGGATAATTACAATCTTTATCTTAATTAGGCAAGACAAGTAAATACCTAATATATTTCGCACATACAAATGTTTGTCACTGTATTCAAGATAAAGTTATTTTATTCAATGGACCTCGAGAGTATGGACTAAAAATACGTAACAAGAATCGTAAAAAAAATTAATGAATTGAACTAGATTGTTCCTAGTCATCCTAGGAAATATGGCCGTGTTCTAAGTTCCAAATACTACATCATCATAGAGAGTCATATGCATAAAGAAGAGAAGTAAACATTACTCATAGGATAAACATTTAATTTTAGTCCAGTTGAGATTGAGGATGCAAACGCAACCATCTACGGCAGCACCGCTCGAAACAGAAGAAAGTACTGGTGGTGGAACGCAAGTATGTCTGCCACACCCTCACGCCCCAATCATGGTGGAAGAACTAATATAAAAGACGTTCTATGTTCAAAAAACAAAAATAAAAAGATTTTACACTCAGAAATATGCCAATAGCGCTTGTTTCACTAACTTCATATAAGTTCCCGATAAATTTATAATGCATACAAATTACGTTCGATATTCAATTTTCTCTTCCGGTACATAACGGCTTAACAGGCATAGTGAAATAAGCTCTTAGTATTTACATATCTTCATTCTATTTGCGAACTGGTTATTGCAAAGGAATTATTTTTCTTTTTTTTATATTAGTTTTAAAGAAGGCTTTACAGACTAATTACATATATTATTATGAGTAAACAAGTTATCTTAAATATTGCTAATAACAATAGTCTCCACGTATATGTAGACTATGTTCACACAAGAAAACACTTACTTAAAGGTTTTACCACTACAGTACCACTACAGTTCGACCGATAATAGTATTTGATATAAAAAAACTAAATTCTTAAAATAACATTCCTCGTTTCTGTCTTATTAGATATTTTCAAAAGTGTCAAGTTTCACATTATGGTTTTTCGTTTGACATTGATAAAATCATACTCAGAACAATTACTTTGATATTGAAACCATCACATGATTCGGACGGTGACACCTGTTGACCTAGATCATAGGATGCGGAGATGCGATAAGCCTACAAAAATATAGTACTGATATCGTGGTTAAGCAGTAGTTATTAATTTGAATTGGTATTATTGAAATCTTGTTATTAAATTTAAGCCAGTCGTGCAAAAATGCATGTTGTTTGAGTAAAGAAAGAAAGGAAGAAAAAACATTTATTTGGCGTCGGTCATACAAAACACCACGGATACTTACGTACAAATAAAAATATATAGCACAATCAAAATAAACAAAAGAAATGTTTCAAATTCTTAGGTTAGAATCTATAATAAAAACAAGACATTAAACAAAATTAATAAAAAAAGTACTTAAACAACTTAGGGTTGATTTTTCAATGGTTAGATAAAAGCTATCTGTGAAATAATTATGATGTTGTCGCGTCATAATTTCTGTATTAGACAGTGACAACAACAATTTTATTCCTCAAATAACATTTATCTGACTATGCAAAAATCGGCCCTTAGTTTTATAAGTACTACACATTTAAATAGTGGAACTCAACAATATGACAAAATAACAGCATGCCTGTTCTAAAAGGGTTGCCATCTGAGTATAAGTTATGTTATGAGAGTTCTCAGTGAGAACCCAACACTAGTTTGAAGTTGGCACCCTTACAGTGACGTACAGGCGGAAACAACATAAAAATACAAAAATAATATTATTAAGATTGGAAAAACAAATATATCCTCAATAATATCCTACACGTCGATTCTATAAAATTTGTTTTATTTTGAAATCTTGTTCGGCTTTGAAGTGAGCGTCGAAGTGACGGTGAAATTAAATTTTAGAATGCCATTTTTAACGTCATCTTAGATATCTCATACTTTTGTCTATCAAAATGTTGCGGTCAATTTATTACAACTCGCAAGTGTAGCGCTAGTGTACTAAGACTACTCACAGCGGATTCAGATTCCAAGTTTAGAATGAACAGAATCACACTGCTAATAGATTATTTCATAGGTACTCTTATATAACTATAAAACATAAGCACGCAGTCATAAACTGCAAACATTAACTATTTTACATTGAATCCATTAACATTCACTCATCATATTCAGACGACCTTCACTGTCCATTTGCTTTTATTTCATAAACTTAAATAATATTGACACTGTCTAATAAAGAGTTTCGTGGTAATAATAGTGGCGTAGGTTACTGACACCTGCACGAAGATACACTGTTAGATAGTAGCATTCTTCATTTTGGTAGGATCCAACTGACTAGACTGTTGATAGAATAATCCTACTACTATTATAAAGGCGAAAGTTTGTAAGTATGGGTGTATGGATGTTTGTTACCCTTTCACGTAAAAACTACTGAATGGATTTGAATGAAACTTAACTACAATATAGCTTATACATCAGAATAACACATAGGCTACAATTTTTGAGGTTCCTAATGTGCCGTCGTAAAAACAAAACACATTTAATAGTGAATAGTGACTTCCTGCAGATTTTTGGTATAAAAACTATCCTAGTCCTTTTCCGAGTTCCAAACTATGACTGTACCAAATTTCACAGAAATCGGTTCAGTAGTTTAGACATGAAGAACAGACAGAATTATTTTCGCATTTATAATATTAGTTTGGTCATGTATAATATTAATATTAACTACTGCAAGTCACAATGGAATTCTTATTCAAGAATAGCGTACGCGTGGCGACGTCTCGCAGCTGACTGCGGCTTATAAGTTTAGGATCCGATTTTTGTATATTATTTAAAGCAAAGGATTGATTGTTTATTATATATTAATAGACGTCCAAAACAGCTGCAACAGAATCGTATTTCAGCAATGAAGCTTGGATCAACTGACTACCCCAAAAACGAAATTAGCACTTCTGTAAAATTGACTCTACCAAAAAAGTTGTTACCATAATTAGTTGGGATTGACACTGTTTTTGTTTGCAGTATTTCTGGTGAACGTTGTGCGAGTGCTTGTGACGAAGCTGCACCCAGCACCGACTCAGCACGCATCCGTGGCTGCCAGGAAGGCGGCAAGAGCTGCTCTCATACTGGTAAGAAATTTATAGGGAACCAAAAGTGAGCGAAGTATTTATAACCTCTCCGGTGTTGAGGATGTCCATAGAGATCAGGAGGTGACCTGCTGCCTCTTGACATAAAGACATTCTTTAGGTACACCACAAGGAAACATTCTTAACTCTCAAAATCCAATAATATTAGAGATTAGAGAGGTACAATGAAACACGTTAAAATAATACAAGTTTAAATGTAAAACCTAGGTAATGAATTATAATTTATAATGAAAGGTACCTTACAAAATTATTACAATAAAGGTTAGTGCCAGAAATATATTGTTTAGATTTTTTTTTTTTGTTTTGTTTAGGTATCTATTAGTATAAGAAAAAAACCATTTTTGTTATTGTTCAAAATTATTGGCATTTTTGTCTTTACTGTACTTAGATCAGATACAGGTTGTAAGAAATTTTGAAAGGCATCAAGAAGACACATTTCGCCTATATAAAAACCCAATGTTTTTATCTGATTACTAATATAATCTGATTCAAAAAGTAGTTCAATATCCATAGAATACACATCTAAATGCCACATTTTATCATGGCGAATATTGTTACGTGCCTGACGTCACGTTCCTGACTATGCGGGCTTGGGTTACGGGATTGGGTGAAATGAAACACTAATACCGGTTTTCAGACTTTCTATTGCACTTAACAGCAGAGTCCGGCCGACTGACACAACTTTGCCGTTCACGCTGACTTAACTCACTTAACTGACTGCACTTCACTATTTCACTGCACTTCACTATTTCACTCACTTTTCTTCTTTTTCACTTCTTCCTTTTCTTCCGAATCGCTTTAGACTTAGAACTCAACTGCCAGCGGTGAGCCGCAGTTCCGCTTATATACCCCCGGTCAGGTTCTGGAACATTCAATTTCGTTATTCTTTTTGATCGTCATGCCTCCAGAACCTTCCAATAATTTCGTTATTCATTTTTATTTATTCTCCTTCTCGCTCTTTAATTTTTCATTTCTTTTACACAAATAATTCCAGAAAGTTCGACAAAACTTCCATCAACTAAAAAACTTCATGTTTACGGCGGGACTCGAACTCGGGGTCTCTGTGGTGTAATCCACACGCCTTGCCGATTACACCAACTCGTGTTGACAATTCACGACGAAATTTACAATCTCTAGGCAACGTTTGACAACCATCCATTGACGTCATGATGTCAAAGAGTTTGAACCACTTTTCCGTCACACTGCCCTCCTCTTAGATTCGCTCGTCCCGAGCATCGTTGCTGCCGTAGTACCTCGCCAACCTGTCTATATGGACAACTTTCAAAGGGCTCCTTGAAGTCTTCCGAATTCTGTAAGTAATGTCATTGATCTTCGTGACTACCTTCCCAACTCGGTTGCAGCTTCGGAGATTTTCCCTTCCTTCTGACTGGATTATGAAGCCAGACCAATGACCCCTCTTCAAACCCAACAGAATTGGCTCGTCGATCATAGCGCGTCTTTGCGCGATCACTAGCTTGAAGACCGGCCTCCCTGATCTGCTCATAAATGTCCAACATTTTTGCCCTTAACTCGCTTATGTAATCGCTAAACTCGGTGCGAGAGTCACCAGGTGGACAGCCCGATACAAGATCTGCCGGTAATCTCAATTCCCTTCCAAAATTTGCAAATGCAGGCGTCTTTGCGGTACTTTCATGTACAGCAGTCCGATAGGCAAGCAAGAAGAGAGGTATGTAAGTGTCCCAATCTCTCTGATGGCTGTCAACCACCTTTGCTAAGTGTCGCTCCAATGTTTGGTTGAAGCGTTCGACCATGCCATCTGACTGTGGATGATAAGGGGTCGTTCGAGTCTTATGGATTCCCAAAAGTTTACAAGTTTCCTGAAAAACTTGGGATTCAAAGTTCCGTCCTTGATCACTGTGCATCTCCAAGGGCACTCCGAATCGGGTGAATACCTCGTTTACCAACTTCGTGGCTACCGTTACTGCCTCTTGATTCGGTATGGCAAAGACCTCCGGCCATTTTGTAAAATAATCCATAACCACTAAAACGTAGCGATTGCCCGAATCAGTGATTGGAAATGGTCCAGCGATGTCTAAGGCTATTCTCTCCCAAGGCATACCAACATTGTAGATTTTCATCGCCCCTCTGCTTCTTGTTTGTGGGCCCTTGACAGCTGCACAACTAGTGCATTTCCGGCACCAATCTTCGACGTCATATTTGCAATGCAACCAATAAAACCTCTCCTTGATCTTCACCAAAGTCCTCCTAATTCCCAAATGTCCTCCAGAAGATCCATCATGGAACGCTTTTAATACATCCCTTATTTTTGAACGAGGCACCACCAATTGCAAATGCTCGTCCTTGCCGTTTGTTGATTCCCATTTCCTGCACAGAAGTCCGTTATGCAGCGTAAGGCTTTTCCACTGTGCCCATAAACCTTTCGTTACCGCGCTATATTGGGCGACGTCACTCCAACTTGGCTTGTTACCACTTCGTAGCCACTCCAGTATTGGTTTAATATCTGCATCTCTTTCCTGTTCTAATTTCATCGCATCATCTCCCCATGCCTCGTCAACAGTATCAGTCCTTATCACCTTAAGAAAAGCAGTTTCCTTCTTGGCACAATGCTTGCAATCTTCCACGCATGGGCGTCTCGATAATGCATCTGCGTTGCCATGAATTCTTCCGCCGCGATGTTCGATTTCAAAGTCAAATTCCTGAAGTTGTTCCAACCATCTGGCTACTTGGCCTTCGGGATCCTTAAACTGAAGCAGCCATTTCAAAGCAGCGTGATCAGTTCTGATCAAAAATTTCCGTCCCAGTAAATACTTCTTGAAATGGTGCAGAGTTTTGACTACGGCCAGCAATTCCCTCCTGGTCACGCAATAATTCCTCTCCGGCTTGGATAGTGACTTGCTGAAGTAAGCAATAACCTTCTCCTGCTCACCATCGCGTTGTGAAAGGACACCTCCTATTCCAATATTGCTGGCATCCGTATCAACTACGAATATTCCTTTCGCACTGGGGTATCCGAGAATTGGTGTGTTACAAAGCCGTTCTTTTAGTTCTCGAAAGGCTTGCTCACAATCCTCGCCCCAGATAAAGGTACGTTTCTCCTCTGTCAATCGATGCAATGGCTTGGCAATGTCCGAGAATCCTTTCACAAACCGCCGATAATACGAGCACAATCCAAGAAATGCCCGAACTTGCGTTTTGTCTTTAGGTGTTGGCCATTCCTTAACAGCGGCAGTCTTGGCTGGATCAGTCTCAATTCCTCTCTCAGAAATAACATGTCCTAGATAATTCACTTCGCGCTTGAAGAAAGAGCATTTCTTTGGACTCAACTTTAAATTTGCTCCACGCAGCTTGTCGAGTACCTTTTCCAATTTCCTTAGATGATCGTCAAAATCCCGTCCAACAATGATGATGTCATCGAGGTAAACTAGGCAGGTTTCGCCCAGCAGTCCCGCCAGCACCTGTTCCATCAAACGCTCAAAGGTTGCCGGTGCATTGCATAATCCAAATGGCATCACCTTAAATTGCCAGAGTCCCTTCCCAGTTGAGAATGCGGTCTTTTCCTTGTCCTTGGGATCCAAATCCACCTGCCAATAGCCGCTTTTCAGATCGAGCGTTGAAAACCATTTCATGCCACTCAGTGTGTCAAGTGTGTCATCGATTCTTGGTAACGGGTAGCTATCCTTCTTGGTTACATCATTCAATCGTCGATAGTCTACGCAAAACCTCGTTGAACCATCTTTCTTCTTGACAAGCACGACAGGTGAACACCAAGGGCTAGAAGAGGGCTCTATCACGTCATTTTTCCTCATATCGTCAATCATTTCTTCAACCTCTTTCTCACGAGCGAATGGTATACGTCTGGGCCTTTGACGAATTGGCATTGTATCACCTGTGTTTATTTTATGCTTCACCAAACCAGTTCGGCCAATATCACCATCGCTTCTTGAAAACACATCAGAGAATCGAAGAAGTAAATTTCTAGCTTTCATAGTCTCCACTTTTGTCAGAGTTTTGTTTTCGTCTAAGATTTTCGTTACAAAGTCTATTCCCGTACTGTCCTTCTTCACAAGATTCTCCGAGCATTTTCTTATCCAGGCCACTTCTTCCAATACGCCCACAGGCTCTCCTTCTTCAATCGTAATTTTTGAATCACTGAAGTTGAATACCGGAATGCGGTTGACATCAGATGACCCCACGACAGTTCTTGCCGGTAGCCATGAGCTTACGTGTTCCGATTTATCAATCACAGCGCACCTTCGAGGTAAACTTCCTTCCTTCCTCCTAGGTAATGCGATTGGTACGAGAGTCTGTGATTTTGGTGCAAGAACAGTTCTTCTTAAACAGCAAACTTTTCCCAGGGTTCCACCCTTCATCGGAATTTCCTCAGTTCCACATAGTAAAACTCCAGATTTTAAGTCGATGTTACACTGGTGCCCTCGCAGGAAGTCAAGTCCCAGGATGCAGTCATCCAGAATTTCGGCCACAATAACCTCATGTCGATAAACACGTTCCCCAATTTTGATCGTTACCTGCAGTTTTCCACTTATCGGTATGCACTGGCCGGTAGCTGATTTCATTCGTAGGCCGACAATTGGTTTAAGGTGTTTCCTGATGTTTTGCCCGAGCAGCCGAACATTTATCACCGTCCTTGAAGCTCCAGTATCTAATGTTAGCTGACTGTTTTTCCCATTTACTTGACCGTCTATCACCAGAGTATTTCCATCGTTAGTTTGCTTGATGTAGATTGTTGGGGTTGTTCCACTACCGGCCAGCGCCCACCCCGCAGCCCTGGCTGGATTTAGTTTCCCTGCTGGTCAGAAGTTGAGACCGCCGCGTCCTGGCGGTTCACCTTCTTCGGGCAGTTACTACGCATGTGCCCACGCTCTCCGCATCCATAGCACATGAAGTTCCGACGGCGTGGAGGTACCTGCTCCGTTGTCGTCATTTCCCGCAGACGTAAGGTACGGGAGTTACCACGCACGGCTTCCACTTCCAATGCATGAGCCAGAGCTTCTTTCATGTTCTTGTGATGGCCCAGATGAACAGCAGCTCGTACTTCGGGGTCCCGAACACCGTCAATGAATGCTTGGAGAAGCGTGCCTTCAATCATTGACGGAGTCGACCGGAAAGCTCGACGCACAAGTTTCTCGATTTCCACGGACCATTGCTGTAGACTCTCATTAGCACGCTGAGTACGCTCTTTTAATTGCGCTCTGTACACGTGCTCGAGGTGGCTGTCTCCAAAACGTGCCTCAAGTGCGTCGAGGAGGGCACTAAAGCTGAGATCCCCACTTGCGCCGATAGCTTCCAGCACTGAGAGCGCTTGATCACGGAGGGCCAGGGTGAGGGCTGACTGTGCTTCCTTCTGAGTCCAACCATAAGCCTCCATAAGTGTCTCAAAGTGTAGCTTGAACGCGGTCCAGGATGTTGTTCCGTCGTAATGGGGAATCTTGAGCCCTTTCGTTGCGCTTGAAGCCACATTTGGGGTGTCAAAAACGGCTGCAAGACGGCTTCGGCTCTTCAAAGGGCTTGGGCTTGTCACTTCCTGCTTGATTTTGGCGATCTCTTCTTCCACTCTCTCCTCTATCGCCATGACGCGATGTTCCAATTTGCCTAACCCTTCCTCTACTTCTTGTACCCGTTCGACAGCCTTTTGCAGTCCCTTCGTGAAATCCTTATGCATCTCTTCCAAGCGACGCGCTTGCTCCTCTTGGCGGCGAGCTTGATCCTCTTGGCGACGAGCTTGATCTTCTTTCAGCTCCCGAAGCTGTTCTGCCTGACAGCGTGCTTGCTCTTCTTGGCGGCGCGCTTGCTCTTCTTGGCGGCGCGCTTGCTCTTCTTGGCGGCGCGCTTGCTCTTCTTTCAGCTCCCGCAGCTGTTCTGCCTGACAGCGCGCTTGCTCTTCTTGGCGGCGCGCTTGCTCTTCTTGGCGGCGCGCTTGCTCTTCTTGGCGGCGCGCTTGCTCTGCCATCATTTGCTGCAGCTGTAGCAGAAGATCCACCTGCACAGGCTTGGCTTCTGCATCGCTGGTTTGAGCTGCAGCACCCTCTTCCCTCACACGCTGCGCTTCTGACATTGAACGGGTACTCACTCCTCTTACTTCCTGCGGTACTAGCGGCATTTTTCTCCAATCCCACTTCTGACACCAAATGTTACGTGCCTGACGTCACGTTCCTGACTATGCGGGCTTGGGTTACGGGATTGGGTGAAATGAAACACTAATACCGGTTTTCAGACTTTCTATTGCACTTAACAGCAGAGTCCGGCCGACTGACACAACTTTGCCGTTCACGCTGACTTAACTCACTTAACTGACTGCACTTCACTATTTCACTGCACTTCACTATTTCACTCACTTTTCTTCTTTTTCACTTCTTCCTTTTCTTCCGAATCGCTTTAGACTTAGAACTCAACTGCCAGCGGTGAGCCGCAGTTCCGCTTATATACCCCCGGTCAGGTTCTGGAACATTCAATTTCGTTATTCTTTTTGATCGTCATGCCTCCAGAACCTTCCAATAATTTCGTTATTCATTTTTATTTATTCTCCTTCTCGCTCTTTAATTTTTCATTTCTTTTACACAAATAATTCCAGAAAGTTCGACAAAACTTCCATCAACTAAAAAACTTCATGTTTACGGCGGGACTCGAACTCGGGGTCTCTGTGGTGTAATCCACACGCCTTGCCGATTACACCAACTCGTGTTGACAATTCACGACGAAATTTACAATCTCTAGGCAACGTTTGACAACCATCCATTGACGTCATGATGTCAAAGAGTTTGAACCACTTTTCCGTCACAATATTTTTTGTTCAGATCAAGTCAAAACTAATGAGGTCTAATTATGACCGCGATCATTGCGCCTTTATTACTTCTATTCGAATGGCTTTTCCACACCTATCTCTATTTTCTGTTTGGCAACATTTCTGACTACAGATATACATACATACATAAGTACTGCATGGTAATTCAACAAACATTTTAAAATCTAAGTGGAACCTGTCTGATTGTGTAAGTATTAGTTAAAATATATTTTTGTATTATAACTTAAGAGAATTTTTAGTACTACTTACAAATAACAATTTACTATTTTTCTCATATTTAATAATTAATTAAAGTATTATAAAACTAGTTAGGTCCGTCGCCAAATATTAGGTGACTACTAGTTAGTTATGAGGTATAATATAAGTACATTTAATAAAACACAAAGTATAATAAGCAATTTCTTTAAAATGTATATGAACGTTGCTAACATAAAATCGTCTCACTAGTGCGTAATATTGCTCTATAAAAAGCAATGTCAATATGGATGCAGCATTAAAATAACAACAGAGTTTTCTTTCGTGAGAGCGACATTAGATTAGTACTCATTTGTAATTCATGAACCACTTCCATTGCGAACTCACCTTTTTTTTTGCGAAGGTAAATAAGTTTTTACGCAATGTACAAATTTGTATATCGGAATTATCATGAGCAATTGCTGTGTCAAGCGATTTTTTGCTTGTATATTTTTAAAAAGCGACACCAAATTTTCCTTGTGATACATTTAGCGATCGTTCCATAATTTTATTTATTACTTATATGTATGCGTAAAGCGAAAATAGCTTCGGCGAACTTTGTTCTCGAAACGATTTACTGCTAGCGCTTTATGAAGTGACTTTATTTTTAAACTTTCTTATAGATAAGAGCGTCTGGGACCCGAACAAGAAAGCAGTGCCGTTACTGGTTCAATTGCATCTCGTTACTATAAAACAGTTCGTGTGCAATATCGGGAGTTTGTATTTGTTGCAGATTTGTACCATTATACTCGAATATTCAATCTAAAATCCCATGAGTTTACTGGCTTCACATTAAATATGTAGATGCGTAATTACGAAAGTGGCCAGCGCTGCACATTTTATAAATGTTTAAATTATTCTTTATTATCTCTACAACACACAAAATACCTCACTTTCATCTTTTAGGTACGAAAGACCCTCGCTGTCCTGCAAGCAATCGCATTCACACCATCTAATGTATTCGGCCTTTCCAAGTTCCAGATCCTTTTCTCAAGTTGTCTGTCCGTTCAAATGCAACATGTCAGGACACCTTCGTGCCGTCTGATGTGTTTGTTTGTTTGTCCACAGGTACCACTCTTCGGGCTACACTTTGTATTACTCCCGTTTCGGCCCTTGCCTGACTCGCCATGGGAAAAGGCTTACCAAATATTTTCGGCGCTTCTCACTAGTTTACAGGTTAGTCCTACATTATTTAGAATTTGTTAAGATGCTCCTGATTTAATCATTGCTCTCTTGGCGGTATCTTATAATTTTATCTAGTGGTGCTTATATGTGTCAATGTTTATGTCCAGGGTCTGTGCGTGGCGATACTGTTCTGCTTCACCAACCACGACGTCGTGGTCGCCACAAAGACATATCTATCACGATTTCGCACACAAAACGAGGGCATTCCTATGACTGGTAACACTTACCCATTAGCTGGGTCGGTTTTTTTTACTAATTTCATTAGATATAAGATAAAATTAATAAGTTACTCCAAGCGGTGCTCGATCTCAGCGTCGCGCGTCGTTTGAAACAATGGTAACGCAACATCAAAATTCACTTTGCTACTAATTGCATACTAGTAATCACCAATTCGACCCGGCATTTGAGAATAACTCGTCATCTGAAGCTTGACTAACTAATTAACGCTGAGCTCGTTCGTCCAGATACTATTCATACTTAGCGGCTAACTGTGAGCTGAGAGATTGTGAAATTTGATCTAAAAAATGCTGAGAAGCAGGCAATAAGCACGAGCACCTGTTGATCTGTTATCAAAACACCATGATGAAGTCAATAAACGACTTTCAACTGTTTGTTCACGAACAGATTACGCATGTAATAAAATAATCTGCTTATCAATGATTGAGTATTTCAGATAGCGACTCAGCTGCTAATTGTGATCTTATCTGGCATTGCCATTCATTTAGAACTCGTCTAAACATACTGTATATTTTCCATAGATCTAAGTATACTTTTATTTAACAATAATTCAGCAAATTCGAAACATTATGTTAAGTAGATATTTAATTTATACTCAAGATACTGAGATACCTTCAAACAGACGTAAAGTCAACAGTACCGGCGTGCCTTTAAGAGCATCGTTAAAGTACTTACTTCACAGAACCAAAAGTAATTTAATAATTTACGTATTTATATAAGACAATCATTTAATAAGCATGTCAAAGAAAATGTGTCTCTATTTATAAGTAAATAACGCATAATTTACATGTTTCAGGTGTAACCGGGGCTGAAAGCTTAGTGAACACAAGAGACCAGGCTGTATGACCTTACGATTATAATTATTTAGGTCGTACACACGTATTTAACATTAGGATTAAGTGACAATGATATGATTATAATTATAATGAAGCATAATTGAAATAATTGAAAAAAAAAGTGATCCACACGGATCTAAACTGACAAATTGTAAAACTCAATAAATGGACACTGAAAATTGTTAATACTTGCTCTTTTTTTAACCTTGGTTTTAATAGAAAAAGTACTTATTATCTTTATGCGATTTCAGTTGCGGTAACGGACAATTCAATTAGGCTTGGTAGGGAAAACGACACATTTTCCACAGGCTTCCTTATCATGAAAACACACTTTTTAAACGTACCCATTGGGACGCTGGGATATCAAAATACTCGTTAATTAAAATCTCAAATTCTTTTACAAGTTCCTTAAATATTCAAAATTATGTAGCCTTTATAGCATAATAAAGCTACGGCAATAAACCTAAGATTTATATTTTCCAAAACCACGGGAATATGGCTCTGCATAAATCACACGAGCTAATGCCAAACCTCCTCCTCTTTGCATCGCAATCTTCATTGCTTAGAGTCGTGGCCACCCATTATGGTGACTATCAACAAATGACTTCTCTCATCCTAGGTGGAGACTATACGGAGTATCAGACTCTTGCTGACTAAAGAAACTGCGCTGGACCTGCAAACCCGGCTGAACATCAGTTATGTTTGACCCCATCTATTACTATACTATCTGTTCGACTCTTACAAGCCGCGGTGTCGAAACGCTAAGCGCCGTATTCTCTAGTCTGATTCTTATCAGGATCTGGAGATCGTGACGCGAACCCAGACGCCAGGAAAGTCTCTTCCTGCGGTGGCTGGGACATAAGGAGTAGGATAGGTTCCTTGCGCGCTTCACCGCGATGGCTTCCCAGTTCATCTCACTTTGCACCATTGCTTCGGCTAACACAGTTCAAACAGGGCACACCACCACCACATGCCCCACTGTACCCTTGCAGTGATGACTCTCGAGATTTTTCCTTCCGCTGGATCCGAAAGAGGTGCGTTCGTAAATGTGTTGATCGCCTTAAAGTAAAACAATCCCGAATCACATATTAAGACGCATAAAAACCGTGTTTTTGACAAACCTCCATATTATAATTATATATTATATGCCTAATTTAGTATTATGTTAATGATATTAACATAAATCTAGTACATAGCGGTTATCCAGACAATCTGAAATAGGCCCTAAACGATGTTCTCCTTAATTTTTCTGCTCTGACTACAACAATATAGGCGTAATTGAGGCCTAGAACATTTTGGCATTACTACATATTTTGTAGGTAATAACCTTGACAGGAGCACATTTACCTGCCATATAATTCGTACTAATATTATGAATATGCGTTTGTTTGTTTGTTTGACTTTCTTTCACGTCAAGACAGACCGACGGATTAACAATGAGCAGATGCAGATAGTAAGGCAATGCCGTGGGCAAAAAAACAACAATTCAGCCAATCTACTTTGTCTATTTGCAACCAAAGTTCTCATAACCATCGATAAAGATTTAAAGAAATTTTATACAAAATCAAACAACTTTAAATAAATAATATTTAATTTACACACTTAAGCACTAATTAAAGTTCATTTGTAATGCGTAGGTACGTCCTATCAGTCGCAAAAATAGAGTTTTACTATATTTTGTACGAGGTAGGAATACATTGAAATTACTTATACTAAAAAATGCAAAAGGACGCGATTCAATGGGCCACCGACCCGAACAGCAAGGTAAGTAAATATCACAAGTGTTTGTACCGGAATGGCAGACTGACTAGTTCAACGAAGGAGATCCAACATCCACTCTGCGATAGCAACAGGTAAATAAAACAGTGATAAAGTTACGGAAACAGTCGAAGGGGTAGTAGGTCAAGGGTTCACATATCATGTTTATATATCCTCTGTATACCCTTTCCACGTCAATTAATTACTGAGAATATGAAAAAGCAAATATACAAATCAATAATGTTTTTTCCGTTCCGGGAATAAAATTTGATATCCCTTATTTTAGTGATAGATAAATTTATTAACATTTTCATTCTTCATAAAATTTATAGATATTATACACATTTAGTGGTGCTTAAACACGCTGTACATCCGCGTCGTTCAACCAGTCACCCTGTATCTTTATTAAATATCAAAATCGTTATCAGCAGCTTATAATCAGATCCTGGCTTACCTTTTGTAATCGCTCATTACCTTTACTCAGACTTTTAATTCTATTTAGTAAAGTGTCAAAAGCAATTTTAAGTTCGTAGAACAATGATAGATATATAAGTATTGCAGACGATTCTAAATGAAGACTCATATTCATTTTAGTTTAGTTATAAATACCAATGATCTAAATCCAGCAGTGCACTGCGACCATGATTAGGTCTTTGTTTCACCTTATGGAAGAGTGTCGTGACATAGCAGGACAGCAGAGCGCCATTTAAAAAAAAGAACATCTATATCATGTAACTAATATCACAACGCAAGTCATTATAATGCCACCACGCTTGAGTTTTAATTTTACTTAATCGAATCAAAAGTCTGAGTACACTCTCTTAGTCATTCCAATAACGAGTTATGTATTAAACTAAGGCCTCGATCTAGCTCAAAGGATCACCTAACCTACAGAAATTCATTAAAATTACCCAATAGTCATTTCTCAACCCATTATGTATTCAAATCATTACATATGACAGTTCAGACGACATATTTTTTACATATGTTAACAAAACAGCTACTCATTGTAATGACTTAGAACTTCTGCATTCATGGGTATCCTTAACAACAGTGATCCATCTGAGCATATACAAAGCCAAAGAGAATTAATAACCTCTAATAATTATTAACTCCGTTATCTTAATCCAATGAAATTGCGAACAAATTACTCAACACATTTCAACGCCTATAATAATTCCCATCTCTACTAGAATAGCGAAAGTAATGAAGATGACGTAGAGAACTAAGAGAATAGCACCGAGGCTTTTTCTGAGCGTGAATTTGCCAATGTAAAGGGTGATCCATAAACAGGCGACGGCTACAAGCAAAGAGCCCACTACGAAGTCAATACCAGCTGAGTTGATGAGCACGGCCTGTTGGTCAGCGTTCTCTGCGACCAGGCTCAATGTCTTAATAAGCCACGGCAAACCCAACGCGAACAAGATAGCCAAGGAGTTAGCTCCCAGAGCATTCGAGACACCAATACCTCCTTCACCTGTAACAATATGATAGTCCAAATTAAATATTAATCAGTGAATCGCTTCTAGACATATTAGGAATTATAGCTATGATAGCGCTAAAGATATAAATCTAAAATTATACTATTTTTTATCATTTAATTCCTGATATTTTTAACGGTAGATAAGCCAGATATTCGCATATTTATTAAGCTTAGGGCTACACTTATAACTTCACGTTCAGTAAGTTTTTATTTATAAACATTCGCTTGGGTACTTTGAGCTATTAATATAAGGATTGCTGGTATTTTTATGAATTTAGCAATGCGGACGCTTTCTTATCTGTTATCTTCATATCTTAATACTAATATCGAGATCAATTCTAGAATCCATACGTAGTAGATAAAAAATAAATTATATTATTTCCTCAATTTTTCTTTACATAAATTATAATCGGTCGATAATATTAAAGTCGATTGTGTACGGAATCTTATCACTAAACGAGAAGTTCTATAATGAACACAAATATATTAATATTCTACTAATTATAACAATATTATATCGAGTAGATATTTATGCTGATATTAACCTACGTGTTATCCAAATTATTTTTTGCTAATTAGCCAGTAATCATGGTCTGTTTATCTTTATGATCAATGTCTTCCGATATCGATATATAACTTTTTATAGTTTTAATGTTGCGTAAGGTCTAAATTTATCTTAAAATCTAATGGAAAATTAACGCCCAGCCTCGTGAATGCAAACTTAAGTGACAAAATAATAATACAATTGATATTGAGGTTATGAAAATTAACCATAGATTCTTAAACAACATCATCAGACAAAGTTAATTTAAAATTATAAAATATACATATATACACATTCGCATCATAACTATACTTTCGCAGATCATATTCTAATAATAATATACAAGAATACAGTTACATTATACGCTCTTTCAAATCTTATGAGTACATACCTCGTCTGGACATGATGAACACGGAACAAGCTTCAGGAAGACATCCACCAAATGCCAAGAAAGTCATACCCATCACTGATTCGGGAATGTAGAAAGTATGACCTGGAAATAAAGTTACAATTTAAACATGTCCATGATTCCTTTAAATCATCACGTAAGACTATTTTACAGTGTAATAGCCATTTTTGTGAGGAGAAAATCATCAAATGACTTTTCCCGCCCTAAGTGGCAGACTCTTACTAACTGAAACCCCCCGTTCCTTCTCCTGCTCTGGACCGAGGTCGCGGTGCCTCATTGCCCTTACCCCGCAACCCCGGCTGAACACCAGCCCTATAGGGCCTCGTCTGTTGTGGTCTATTGGCTCTTTGAGGCATAGTGCAATAGGTGGAGTGATAAGAGCTCTAAAAGGTATTTCTAAAGTTATAATAGATTTACAATAGATTCACTTGTAATAAATTAATAAATTAACCCTCTATATGTACTAGGAATAACTTAAATAGTCATAGACTGAGATCAAATAAAACAAGCTATAAAAATATAGATTAGTATTAACGAAAAAATTTTTACAACTCGAAAATATTTGTCCTCAGTTTAAGGAAAAAACACAATGAACAAGATGTATCTACTTAAACAGTGATTCTAAGAAGCAAGCTAATGTTAATTACAATTATCGTAATTACGTAGTGGTTGTTATTATTTATCATCTTCGATTAATAATTTGTAATTTTGTTGCAAATATTCTTGAGGCGACAAGGTTTAATCTATTTCGCTTGTGTATAGACAGCTCCCAAGAGATCGTAGAAGTCGTGGCCTAGTAGTAAGTTCATCAATTCAAGCACTCAGATTTTGTAGGTACCGAAAGCTTTCTTAGCGTAGGTATTTAGGTAACAACATATCTCTAAGAAAAACTATGAAGAAATCTATCTGTAACCGCATATGAATACGTGGCTATTTCAAAACTTATTCCCCCTTATTACAAAACAAGATTTATTTTAGTGTGGGTTTTGTAATTTAAATCTTATTCCTACCTTTAATTTGAAATACAAAAACTGTTTCAATGGTTCTGTCCAAAACTAAAAAAAACTTGTTAATAAGGCCGATCAAATGGTTTCACAACTCACACACAACGTTCTATTTGTAAAAAACAATACAGTTATATCCATTTTTAAACTGTTGCTAAACTAAAAATAACATTTAGATAATATTAGCGCTGTAACAGGTAATTTGTAGCTTTCTTACAACCTAAATATAAGTCCAGCGTCTAATAAAAAGCGGGTCTATTTCACTCCGGCCACATTAAATCCCGTCAAGACCGAATTTATACGAACAAGGACAACCTTTACACAATATATTATGCCAGATAGCGAGTTTCTTGGGAAAAAAATCTCCACAAGGCTTGGGAAAGTCTCGCCTTATATAGAATTAGGGTATTCCCTAACCAAAAGAGTGAAGAAAAGGATACGGTTTGTACCAGTACAGTGAAGCTATTTATTATGAATCGCCTTCGGAATTCCAGTGATTTATTTCAACAAAGTACCTACAGACCCGAGGATAAATTTATGTTAAGATATAATAAAAAAGTTACTTCCAAATTGCCTAATACTTTGAAAGGTGTTTTGATTCACATTGAATTATTTCTTCACATTATCTAACTCTAATTAGAAAGCAAAATAATTGTTTCTTCAATTTTTTCTTTTCAGTTTCCTACTTTCGCTAATCAATCAGTGAATCAAATATTGCTCCTCAGTTTAAGACCTTAAATAGTTTCAAATTAAGTTGAAAACTACTTACCAATCACGGTCATGCTCCAAGACACACAGTATGAGTTAGCACCAATCCAGACGATGCACATGAAGAAAGCAAGTGGGTACCATCTTCTGTAAGTTATGGGCGATGGGATGGTCATACCCAGTACAAGTTTCAAGGGCCAAGTGTAGAGCCACCAAAACTTATACAAGTTCGAGTTTTCTTTGGGCCACCTGAAGACACTCTTCTTGGGTTTAACGACCTCAGTTTCAACTGTAACAATTCATGTTTTTATTTCTGTTATATTTTATCTCATAGAAGTCGTGTGTTTGTTTTAGTGGACGCAACTTCTTACCATTATCAACAACTGACACTTTCTCAGGATTTGAAAGAGTTGTATCGTTAAATCCTTTGTTATCCACGCCTTCTTCAACAGACTTTCCGTTTTCAGCGGTCGGCATTTCTACAACTAAAATGACATAAATGATTAACTAAAATCCAAATTGTAGGTTAGCTTTGAATTCATTTTACTATTATCTTGTTATTAGCGCTTCGTTATCTAGGAAAAATAAACCTTTTATGATTAAAACAATACTTACTATCCAGTGTATTGTTCTTATTGCACCATTTAGCAACTAATCTGTCGTACAAAGCGAACATCCTCACACTGTTGAACATGATAATAAAGTAGAGGACATATAGGACGGCAAGTACCACAGCCTCGTACCAGTCGATCTGTCCATCCCATACAAAGGCCACTAGTACACTAACGTTAATCATATAGATAATTACATCCCTTGTGACAGGACGAGCCTCGATTTTGATAGGCTGGAACCAACAAAAACATCCCAATTAAAATAATAATAAAAACAGTGATTTAACAGAATAAACTTCTTTGTGTAACAAAATAAACAATTTCCATGCGCAAGTCACTTAGGTATGTAGATAGGTATCTATGCAAATGTGTATTGTACATTTGTTGAATGAAACTTGCAAATAATATTTATCTATCTACATTATACTCACCACGACCGTGGCGAGACCTCCTACAGCTGCCACTCCGAGGGCGTTGAAAATAGCTGAACCGACAATGGTACCAATACCCATACTGGACTCGGTCAAAAACGTCGATATCACGTTAACGAAGAATTCTGGACAAGATGTGGCGACAGCCATGAACGTAGCTGCGGCTACATTCTGAAAGAAATTAACAACGCTTAGTTCAATATCCAATCTTACATCAACGATAAAAATTACATAAATATTTTAGAAATGCAATTATTAAATATGATTTTTAATACCTGAGGAATCTTTAAGTCTTCACAAATCAGTTCGACGCAAGGAATAAAGTAATCGTTACACACGATAGCCAGAAGTGTAAATGAGTAGATACCAAACATCACATAAAGTAAGAAAGCACCTTGCCTCAACTGTTCATCTGAAATTAGCAAGAAAATATATTGTTTCGTGTGTATTCTTACGAGAACAATAACCGCCGAAATGTTACCATTTAAGAGGAATAGTAATTGAATGCCCGAATTTGAAAAGGGTTTCGTGGTAGGCCGTGGTCGTGGTATTAAAAAGTAAATAAGAGAAAAGGGTGTTTATACGAAAAAGAATAAAAGACTATTATTACATACCATCAAATAGTGAGTCAGGGAAACTCTCAATGGAGTCTCCACCAGGGCACGTCTGCTGCGCTATGCCATCCTCATTGACTTCCACCCGAGTTCTTAGCCATGGAGTCCAATGCCAGGTAGACTGTTCATTTTGTATCTTCTTTATCAACTCCTCGCTCATTAACACTATTTTACCATTCCGACTAATAGGATGGAGTGTGTTAAAATTCGTTTCATCTATAAATTATAAAAACGTGATTAGTTATTCGCCTGGCACACGCGTGGGTCAGTAATAACATATGAATCGCGAGTAGTATCCCACGGGAAATCGATTATCGAAAGTTAACTCGGATGTTTGTGATAATGATAATAATAGGGCAATCGATGTTGTGATCGGGCACATAAGCCTCGCCATGATATGCCGCGGATAACAAAACATTCGACGAACTTAAAAAAAATGAAAGTATTAAGTACTAAAATATTAAAATCACAGAACAATATAACAATATTAGCGTGCAAGCACCTGGCTATTTGCAATATCGTCTAAACGTTTCCCTTTGAGAGTTAAATTATAAAATGAAACAATGGCTACGGTTTAGTTACAAATAATATAATTCAGTCAGGCTCAACGATCTTGAGAATTCAACAGGTGGCTAAGGACACTGTCGCTTTTATTACGCATCTGTTTACTTTCATTTTTAATATTGTCCTGATTTTATAGTTACGAACTTATCCTTAGTAATTAGTGAATTGATTTATGGAACTTACTCTCAAATCCGGCGACCATGGAGTTGCAGGTAGCCAGGAAAACCGTCAGGAGGACGATATAAAAGTTGGCGCGTGTCATGATGTCCCTTATCTGTGCGACCGTTCCAAACTAATGGAACTGAAAGAAACACATCACTTAATATAACACGGCTTCCACACTTGCTTGGAACTTCGGACATTTGTTTTATAGATAAAACCATACAAAGTGAAAAACACATATTATTATTGACAATGTTTTAAAAAAGGTAAGGAGTCTGACAATAATTGCGGCGCTCATAGATATAGTTCAATTAGATTCCTATCGAAGTTGATTAATCATATCAATTAAGATAAGCAAACGTAACACAACTATTTCCATACATACGATCATCGATTGCCACGGGCTGCCGATTCAAATTGTCAAAGAAATTACTTTTAATTAGTCGCTCCAACTTAAGCAAATCGACGATATAAAGTATGTTATACATATTATTTCGCATACAAAACATGTAAGTAATTTATTATAGTATTTCTTGGTGTACACCGAGGCTGGCTGAAATTGTACTGATATTTATAATACGTAATTCAAAACTGTTCACCACATTAAGAAGTGCCAATTTTAAATATGTACACATATTTGTTTGGCGAAGTGAAATCACAAAGGCATATATAAATTATCCAAAACAACAATACGGTGTTTATAAAATACACATGAAAATCCTATTGATGAACTGAAATTGATACAAATTCGAGTGAATAACCAATCATTTTGAGATAACAGTTAGATACTTGAAATCGGAAATAATAAATTTATAGGACAGTAGATACTTCGTTTAAAACTGATAGCCACTACAGAAAGTCAACGATAATAACACAATCATTTTATACAAACCGCTGAACACTAGTTGATAGCCTATATATTGCTTAATGTTTATCCAAGACGCTAATAGAGAAATTTCTACACAATTATTATTAAATACTATCATAAAATAAACAAACACAAAATACTTTAGAAATGTGTACTCACTTCAGATCGACTTGCTCTAAAACAAGGAATTAGCGGCAAACAGGTAGCAATGTCAATAAAACATTATTGTTAATTAAATACGTTATTAGAGCGATAGCTGGCACTCCGCAATTACCAAGGATCTCACGACACTGAAAGAAAGATATCAATGCCAGAGGTTTTTAAGTAGATAATCTTATTTGATAAGAGACTCCTTTGTAGCGATTAGTAGAATTCAGTTATAATAATACACGTCAATGAGACACGCACATTGTATGTGTACAAGAATGCAATATCTCAGTTACCTCTCTCATGTTTTCCCTAAGCAGTCGCGCGAGGTGTAACTGTAGCGAGTGTGCAACCAGATTATTTGCACCGCGCGCCACGAGAGCGCTCACACTGATGCTGGATTGAGCTCCTGCACACTGCACTTCTGACTACTCCAAACGCACAAGCAAACAAGGTCGATAACATACATTACTTACACATCATACTTAAACAAACAAAAATGTAAAATTAATGTCTATTAAACCTACTGGACTAAATTGCCCGATTAATTTAAATTATACTATAAAAGTTATAAATTCATAACAGAAATATAAATACAATAGAATTGAAGAATATAGAAAAAATATGTAACCGCAGTATTGCGTACGGGTACATAAACACAGCTCCAGATTTAGATCGATGGTCATTAACAACACTAAACATTTTAAAACGTTCTGAGGAAACTACCAGCAAAATAAACATTGGTAGGTCATAAACCCTTCAAGAGGTTTAAAGGTTTCCACTTCCTGGATATTAAAAGATTTCTAAAGTAATTTATTTTCGTATTGTGTAAAAAATGCTTATGCAAAGAGTATTTATTGTAGTGAAATATCTTGATGTTGCTACTGTAATATACATATGAATAGGAGTCACAGGTAACAGGGCATACGAAATAGCGTAATGTATGTTCAAGGCGAGCCGTAGGTATTATTCGTTTACGTAATGCAGAAATTTGCAATGTTTGTAGGATAAAAGGTTACGTTTTACGCTTATTAGTTTTGTTAACTACTTCATCATATTACCTACGCGACGTACTCATACACCGTACACTTGTGCAGACGATAATCAATTTTGCTTTTACGTCATCATCTCGTCACAACTTACCGTCAAACAATTCTAAAAGAATGTACGATGTTAAATAACGAATGAATATTATATTTGAAAAGTTTTACTCTAATATTTTGGGATCAGTTTTCGGGAGTTCTTTTATTAAACTGCTTGATTTGAAGAAGGTTATATCTGCTTATTTAAAGTGATTGCAATTTTGTCGAAAACATTTTTTAAAAACGTTGCCTCACACTAGTATTTTCTCCTGTGTCGTGGATGCCAACATACAAATGCGTGCGTACAAACCTACAAATTCACATACACATCACACTAAGACCCAGAAACACAAAATGCACATCACACAGTCTTGTTTCGTTCGGGAATCAAGCCCGCAAAACGTCGTACAGCGCCAACCATGCAGTCAATCGTATTAGGTAAATAAAAATAAATCTTTGTATATCTCCATTGTCTGTTTTATTGACGAACTGATACTGAACTGCCCGACGACGTGAGGACTTATGAGTCCTAGTTTTCTCCTACCCTGGTAGTAGTAACACCAGCATCTCCCACACTCCTTCGGAGATCCCTGATTTCAAAACTAGCTTAGTATGAACATCCAGTCAACATAGCGGGTTCTTGGCATAAGAATCCCCGACCTTGAACAAAATAACCTATAAGTTATCGGATTACGGGAGACTCGCTCCCAGCCATACTCATGTGTGGTCATAGTCCTGCCACATAGAACTGTTTAAATTAAAGAAGATTGTTTTTTTAGAAATCCAGGACGTCGAATGATGATGTACTCCTGTCCCACATTTCGGGTATCTATAATTTGCATTTTATCCAGTAAAATACATCTCCATTTTTTTATTTCGTAATTGGCAGACATTTGGCCTTTATCACGCTTGGTGGTTAACGATAATACGAACTGCGATGGAGCATACCTACCCATAAGCAACCTATTCACTCGGGCTTTGAAGACACCCAGTTTATACCATTCGCAGAACGCGGACTTCGGCAAAGAATTCCACACTGGAGGCGAACCGCTTCGTGCGTGTAGGCGGGATATCCACCATAAAGCGATGACGTTTTGCCGATTTTCTGGTGGTACGATTGTGAAAAGGACTAAGTCCAACCAACCAACAACCAGGAAATGTCTTACTAAATGCTCAGACATCTCGCCACTTTCATACATAATACTACATGTACGTACACATGTAGTGTAATACAATTCATTCAAGCATCTTCTAAACTGCCTTGCTAGTAAACCGTGTGTGTTTTACACCAATTTCGAACTCTTTATTTTAAAAAACTGTGTTTGAGAATCCTATTTAATAGCTTAAATCAAAAAAGTATGGTACGAAGACTACGTCATATTATAGTTTTTGTTGTTCAAAGCTAAATAACATAGCAAATAAAACTTTAATATAGAAAATACATCAATGAAAAGTCAATACAGACAACAACTGAAAACATTGAAGTAATTGAGTGAATGTAGAAATGATAGCACGCGTGACTAGTGAACCAGCGTAGAAATTGTTCCATTAATCTCCGTTTATGATATCACTTTCATTTTCATTAATAATAGACTATACTCAAAACAATAGAAGGAAATTGTACAATCTATAAGGAAAACACAACACTCGTCCTAAGTTTATCTTTGCTTGCGTTCACACTCAAAATCTTTAAAGATATACCCCTATAGTAACTCACGAAGCTAGTTTATTGAGTTCTTCTCAGAAATTATCGAATTAATTTTTAAATTTATTAAATCGTTTTGATTAGATAACTTAATATATATTAAGCTGTGGATTTCTGACAAATCCGAACTAATAATATAAATGCGAAAGTAGCTCTGTCTGCCTGTCTGTCTGTTTTTTCTTCACACCTAAACTACTGAACCGATTTCTGTGTAATTTGGTACAGACATACTTTCGAACTCGAGAAAGGACATAGGATAGTTTTTATATCAAAAATCTGCAGGGAGTCAATATTCCACGCGAACGGAGTCGCGGGCAAAAGCTAGTATGTTCCTATAATAAATGAACTCCTTTTTTGAGATCTATACAAGGAAATTTAAAAAAATAGTTTTAATCTCAGGATTATTGGTACTGATTATGAGTTTTTGAGAGAAATTTACTTTCCTATTTTAAAACCAATGTAGGTTTATGACGATCATTTTCCCTAACGCTTTATATTAACTAAATACCAAGAAGAAAACGGATATTTTATTGTTATCTAGATATTTTTTTTATTCATATATCACTAACAAAATTACATCGATATAATTTTAGCCATTTTCGAGATCTTGTGAATTAAATATAAATAAGTACATATTTGTTTAAGAACAACAATGGCTCATTTATAGGTGTAAGAAAACTTAAATTCAATAAAATTGGCATCGTGATTTTAAGTGTGTGATCTTAAACACGGGATCTTGTTCAAATTTTGTGTCGGTTCAATTGTTATTGGAATTATGTGATCCCACAACCGCCCAAGTCTTTCTGCAGGTATTATAAGTGTCGGTTAGGGACCCGTAATGTAACAGAGACCATTTAGCAGCGTAATTTGATATACTCATCAACCAACCTTCAAATTATGTATAAAGTTAACAAAACCGATCTCTTACTACGAATATAAACGATGTGATTTTGTATAGGATAAGTCGGCCGGCTAACAGTCGGATTACATGATGGTAAGCAATCCATGCTCCATCCATGGACACCCGCAGCAACAAACGAATTATGAGTGTCGTTGTCGGCCTCTTGGGGATAAGGGATTCTGATATTTGAGGATTGGGCAGGGAGGGATTGAGCCTCCGGTAACCTTACCCACACCGCGAAACACAACGTTGTGGTTGTTTCACGCCGGTATTCTGTGAAGCCGTGGTATTACTGCGGTCGAGCCGACCCATTCAAGTGATGTTTGAAAATAAGCGTTTTCCTTAGCGGGGCTATTTTTTGTCCCAAGGCTGACTGATAACGCTGTTGATAAATATATTCGCCCCCACATTGAAAGGCTGATAGTGATATTCGCATTAAGGGCTTTGATAATATGGTCGATTTTGAAAACAGGAGTATTATGCTACTTGTAATTGAAACAAAATATCACTCTTATTAGTCACTTTATTAAAACTTTTATGTAATACTGAGATAAAGGTACATTATGTTACACATAAAGTTATACAAGTGGAGGAAACACACGCAAACATTAAAGACCATTTTATCAAGTTCAGTTAGTAATAAGTGCCTTATAATTTTATTGACTTGAGATGGGTTTCAGAGGTTGTGAAACCATCCTTAAGTGCATTTTCTACAAACTTGTCGTCTCTAAAAGCGTGCAGTATACCAAATAATTAAGATTAATTCAATACTTATATAATAGCTTGGATTTCATTGACCAATCTCAAAGATTATGTTGTATCAATGGTATGTTGATATTTTTCAGCGTGTACAAACTTGATAATTACAGTGCTTCAATACACAGATACTAAAGTTATAGAAAATAATAATTACATATCAAATAATTTTTTGCTTATTTTTAACGATCTGATTGTAGATAATGGAATGTAAATGACTCGCTATCTTTTAATAAACAATTATGGTTAAAATGGATTCAACTTTTTGATTAGGTTCTAATACAATACTATATATAAAGTCAAGATTTATGTAATGAATCCATTAAAAGTGTGCATCTACAGCAAGCCCAGACTCATAAGAACTTATTTTATACTATTGTCTTACCTTAGAGCACAAAGTCGAAAGTACTTATACTTAATATAATAATAGAACATCTTAATGGAACCACTCGTACGAAGGATACAAACAGAAAATGAAAACACAAACGTGTTTTAATCTAAACTTCATAATCAAGCCCCTTACACTTAATAATGAGTCATACAAAACTCGATCTAAAGTTTACATAACCATAGCATTTACAATAAACTGGCAGCCAACAATATCAGGATTGTGGATAAGACTTCAATATCGTCGTCGGTCTAAGAAATCATTTTTAGTGTTGTCCGTAGGCTTCCGATTAACCAGATCAGGAATCGTATTGTCCATCCATTTCTTTCTACTGTTGAAGTCGTTTACGTATATTTTGTTAGTTTGAGGCTTACGAGCTATGGTCGTACAAAAGTCGTAAGCTACTCGAACAGTGAAGAACAGAATTAG